ACGGCTCTGAAGCTCCGCAACCTCTCGGGGGTCCCCGATGATTACTATCCCAGATGATGCTGACAGCGGCGGGGGGACCTGACCCTGCGTGGCAAGGAAAGGCTCGGTCTTACTGGCCTCTGCCTATTCCACCCAGTGGGTGGCTTCTCTTTTAATGCTCCATTTGCTGCTATTAGCTGTCGATCAACTCCCTGCATGAGCGACAAATGGTCACAAACCATCGCTGAGCTTGCTTGGCCGACGCCGATGTGGACCCAAGGGGATGCGGGTGCTTTCCTTGCTGCGGCGTTCCCACTCCTTCCCACTCCTGCTGCAGCCCTCCTTGGCAATGCAAAGGGTGATTTGTCCCCTTGGGCTGGCTGGTGGGGATGCTGCATTGCTCGGGCAGTGCCTGATGCATCCTATGGCAGTGGGCATCCCCAAACTCCTCTCACTCATTGGCCAGCCCTGGAAGGATGCAGCTCATCCCTGCATGGATCCCATTGGAAGGAGAGACCAGGGGGTTGGTACCATGTGGGTGATGCTCCGTGGATCTGATCAGAGGTTATGGAAATGGGGAAGGCTGTGCTGGGGAGGTGGCTGTGTCCTACCTGCACAGTCCCTTGGCTCCATGGGCACCCTGGGGATGGGAATCCCTGGGATGAGGTTGGTGTTCCAGACAGTGCTGCTGCTCCAGCCCCAGTGTCCAGAGGGAGCCCGTGACCCTCCGCTTGTGGGGTGGCAGCCACCCCTATGCATGTGGGTGATGCTCAAGAGGGAGACATTGGCCCTGGACAGAAGAGCTTATGGGACCACAAGTCCTCATTTCAGAAGCTCACAAGCCAGAAGCAGTTTTGGGGGCTCCAAGTGGGGTCTGTGCTGCAGCTCAGCTGCTTCAAACCCTGCACATCCTGGGGATGGGCTTTTAGGTGTCCCTCCAGCCAAACCCCATCCCAAAACGGGTCCCTGCTGCCGAGCAGGAGAAACCAAAGGATCCCCATGGGCATCGGGAAGATGCCGTGTGCCAGGCTGGCTTTGTGCAGTGCTGCATGTGGTCCCCAGCCATGTCCCCTCCCTATGCCACCCTCCCAGCCCATCCCTGCCCTGGCTTTGCCCCTGTCTCCTTCCAGCCTGCAAGTCCCCTTTGGATGTAGGTGCAAAAGCCATATATTGTACACAGCCTTTTCTAGAGTTAGGTATTGAACGATTGGCTTTTAACTCTTGATCTTGATAGAAATCCACGCACAGGCGGAAATCCCAGAGCCACCCCCAGTCCATATTCCAAGAGAGGAGAAAAATTCATGAAGAAAAAAGGAGGATTTAAATAAGATATATTTTTCTAATGCACGAATGGGGCAGCGAGGGCAGGGCCGGGGCGCTCCCGTCCCCATCCCTCGGTGTGGAGGTGGGAGAATGGGTTTGTAGGGAGCATCTGCCCTGTTTTTAACTCTTCCCTTGACAAACGGCTGGAGGTTTTCCAGGAGAGGCAGGGAGCCCCATCCCGGCAGTGGGAATCGAGCCCCGGGGCTGCCTACCTCGGTCAGAACAAATCCTCAGGTCAATCCAGCTATTAAAGGAGAGTTCTTGTTGCTATTCTGCCTTCCTGTGTGTTTGTGGGGCCAGCCCGATGCTCCCCATCCGTCCCAGACCCCTGGGATGCAGGAGCAGCTCCTCTCCCCCTGCCTTGCATCACATTGATGCTCTCCCTGCATGCGAACCACTGACAACGCAACCAAGTTGGGAGTTTGATTCCCTTTATAGTGGCCTTAAAGACAGGTTTATGGGGGTGCATGGTGGGAGCGGGGAGATTTACGGCTGGCTTTGCTCCCATTGCCTCCCATCCTTCCTGAGCGCCAGAGCAAGAGCAGGCTCGGTGCTGTTAATTCCTTTTCTCTTGGCTGATCTTTTCCTATGTGGAATTGGAGAAATCCCTGGGGTTTTTATAGCCCTGGGTTTGCAGCAATCAAGATGCTTGCTGGGAGTGATTTGTTCTGATGGGCATCAGCTGAGGAAGGGGCAGTGTTCCCGTCTGCCCCTGCAGGAATGAAACCCCCAAAGCCAATTAATCTCTATCATCTCTAATCTCTGCCAGTTAAGCTCTCTGGCACCTGTATAGACCCCCTTCAGATGCTCAGGCTATGGCTTTGGAAGGGGAGATGTGTTGGGGGGTGCACCCCACATCTGCACAGCCCAAGAGCATCACCTCCACAAACCCCTTCAGAGTGGGGAGCAAAAGGGCCGAGGCAGCTCCCTGAGCACCAGCACCATCACCTCACCTCTCGTGTTTATCCCCTCACTGTGGCTTTAAGGCTTCCTGAACCCTAATGCCTTTATTTCTCCACAAGTCTTTATTCTGGTTTTAATTTGCAATGACACGGACGGGTTGGAAATCGTTCCCTCCCTCTAAGTGTGTGCTGCACATCTGGCTGCACACACAGACACATGCACCCCACATGGGGAGGGTACCGTGTCTCTGCCTCCATCCCTGCTAATGCAGTGGCTGCTGCAAGCAGGAGCTGAAGGGTGATGGTTTATCTTCTATTTACTTACTACATTCCAGGCTATATTTTTACCACATGGGACTGGCATGCAGTAATAAAACTGATCTCCCACCCCAGTAAGAGAAGCCAACCATCCTTTCCACATCATTTTCACATGCAGAGCTCTTGACATTTAATAGCCTGCCTCTGTAATGCCATTAGCCTGGCTCATCGGAAGCACTGCCATGTGCAGGCAGGGCAGGCAGCACCCAGTGAGTCCATCATGGGTTCTAAAAGCAGCGAATCTTAATGCTTGTCTCAGCCCCAGCAAGGCCTGAGCATCCCTGGGTCATGCAGGAAGCTCACACAGCCTCAGCATGGAGCTGGGGGTGACCCTGATCCCGCTTCCCATCTTCCTGCACTCAGACCCATCTATTTTCTGCAGTGTCTCATCCCGGGGAATGTTTTCCTCCCTCCCTGGTCCTGCATCGGCAGAGACTGCATCATCCAGCATCCTCCCTCCTGGGCTGGATGGGTTTCCCTGCGTTGCCGTAGCAACAGCGTCTGCACCAAAATTCCCTGCTTTTCCCCCAATTCCATGTGGTTTTGTGCTCAGCGGGCCCTGGTGGAGATGATGCTGGAGGAGATGATGCTAAAGAGCAGCTCAGGCTAGCAAAAGGCAATGAATGCCCCTTTGGGCTGGATTCAGGGGGTTTGGATCAATGACCCTAGCGATGCAAATGATGCTGGGGCTCAGGTCAGAGGCATGGGGCTCCCTTCCTCCTGAATTAAACCCCACACAACGCTCTTGCTGCTGTTTAAATGAGCAGGAAGTACCCACCTCAGCGGCACAATGGAAGAAGCTGCGCCAGCACTTCCACAAAGGCTCTGTAACAGAGGGGAGATGCGAGTTATAAATCTGAGCAGCAGCAATATTCATGCCTGACGAAAGAGGCATGTTTATTTATCAGCTTTCCTATTTCCCATCAAATTTGCAGTTGACAATCTGCCTGAATGGAATGGAGATAATTTAACCACGGCTCCAACCCGCCTGGCACCCGGGAAAGGGGAAGAGCAACGTGTTTATCCCTTTTATTTCTAATTCCAATCCCAAATAAAGGCAGTGATTTATCGGGGAAGGGAAGCACAGCTTTATCTCAGGGCTGTGACAGCTAATAGAAAAAGAGCAGTCATTAAGGACAGTAATGTGTTCCACAGAGATGGGTTTGGTGTATTCGGGAGTCATTTCCACAACTGCATGTGTGAAATGAGACCCAGCCCCAGGTTCTGGGGCCCTGGAAGTGGTGGGGAATTACAGGGAGGCAGGAGTGGGATGCAGTTCTAGGGATGGAGATGGGGGTCCTGGGATGGAATTTGAGGTCCTGGGATAAGATTTGGAGCTCTAGATGTGGGTGTTTGGCATTGGGGTCAGTGTCCCAGCTCTGAAACCTGCTCTTCTTTCCCCTCCATCCCTGCCCTACCCTCAAATCATGACCCCTTAACCGCAGGTCTCACGCAGATGGCTCCGCATCCCACTCACCTCTTGAGCCTTAGATGCTAAACCCAGTTACCCACTTCTCCATCTCCTGGCCCAAAAGGAGCTGCAGATCAGGGGGGGATTGGTTGCTGCTGTGCTGGCATGGAGCAAGCCTGGTTTGTGCCACCCGGCCCTGGACCCACAGCCCCAACTGAGCCCCTTCCCTGGATGCTAATTACAGCTTTTGCCCATCACCCTGGAGTCATTGACCCTCCACCAGCATTAATCAAGGGGACGGCATTAATTCATAGCTAAGGACATCACCCAGCTGAATGCATCCGTGCCTGCAAGACCAGGGGGATGGCGAATCAGCGGGACACCTCCAAGGACTCATCATTTGATATCCCAGAGCTTCCCATCGCCATAGGGGACTGCAGCCGATGTTCCCTCCCCTAAAGGAACAAAATAGCTGCCACTGGTGAATCTTCACCATCCCCACGCGATGCCGGGGCTGTGGCAGCGGCTCTGGCACTGTTTAGGCAATATCAAAGGCATTGGGGCAATATCGAGCTGCATTTCTTTGCCTCTATGCCAAAGGGAAAGCCAAACCTGTCTGAGGAGGCCCATGTGCACTGCGAGGCTCTGCTGGAGCTGGGTGATGAGTATTTCTGTCCTGTTTCTGCTTTGTATCCCTGCATTTTTAATGCTCCCTGTTTGATCTGTTCTGCCTGCCTTGATGGGTGACACGGGAACAGGAATCAGTGACATCCCCCGGGGGGGGGCTCGCTCAGTGCTTGGCAGGTTACGAGGTTCAACACCTAAACTTGGGGGGGTTCTCCCTTCTCTTCCCCATCCTCATCCCTCATGCTGGGATGGGGCGAACCAGCAGTGGAAGGGATGGAGCAGCAACGTGCTGCTTGTACCAGCGTGTTTGGATGCATATTGGGGTGGGGGTGAAGGATTTGACCCCCTCCTGCTGCCCCATTGAACAAGGGGAAAGTATAAGTACAAGAGTACAGAGTGGGTCTATGGGGGGGTTATGGATTGCAGGAGGTGATGGGGAGATGAAGGCAGGTCCCAAGCACATTTTCCCCACCCTGAAGAGCCATTTGACCTCTTTAGGGACAACTTACAGGGGGAAACCCACAAGGAGCATCTTTAGATCTTCCATAGGAGAGGCTTAGAGCATCACACTCCCATCTCAGCTGTAAAGCCTCAGCCACGCATCCCTGTGCCCTTCTCCTCCTGCCTGCCTTCCTGCAATCCCAAATTCAGCGCCAGGGATCAGGAATATACACTAGGAAGCGAATGCTTACTGAAAAGCCCTGGGATCCTTCCTGCTCCATGCAATGAGCTTGAGAGCATACGGGTGTATTTGTATGTAAAACAGGGGTTTTATTAAATAGGCAAACAGCTACAAAGGCAAACTCAAATATTAGGTCTCCCAAGCTGTCAGTGTAATGATGATTTAACCCAAGGTTATACAGCGAGCCGTCACTCTCTTGTTTGAAAGCTGTTTGCAGCAATAATAGATGGGCTTGCCAATTCCAGCCATGGAAGTTAGTGAGGAGCATCCCAAACCAGGACCAAAGGGCAATAGAATGACACTGCATCCTCGAGGGACATGGGCTGCCTGGTGAGGAGAACCTCTTCCCACCATCAGCTCCTTCTTCCCCTGTGGCCTCCTCGGTCACAGCATCTTCCAAGGGTAGGGATCGGGCACAGGTTTTGTGGGAAAACCTGGATGGTCCCTGCAGGCAGCTCAGCACTGTGGTGTAGCCCAGGGATTGGGCATTGCTCCCTGGGGAAGCAGCAACACTGCTCATCCCAATAGTCCCCAGCCCTAGGAGACATGGAAATGCCTGCAGGTGGGTGCCCTGCAGCTGTGCCATGTTATAGACAGCAGCACTCAAGAGGCAGCATCACCAATCTGCCATTCATTTCCCTTATAATCCCCATCCCCTGCTGTATTCCCTTCCTGGGCTCAAGCTGGACAGCCTTTGTTTTCAGGATAAACCCCTCCACCCCTCCTGCACCCCACTTCTCAGCACCCTCCATCACTGAGGACAAACACGTCCGAGCACACACCATCAGCAGCACCAAAACTGCAGCCGAACATGGTGGGTCCATCATATCCCTGTCCCAGGGATGCTGCAGTGTAATGGGAGAGGAGCAACAGCTTCATGTGGTGCAGGTGCTCCCCTCTCCCCATCACATTGATGCTAATGAGGTGATGCAGATCAAGGCAGATGCATGAGGCAGTGCAGGGGGTGGATGGGATGCCTGATAATCTGCCTCAAATCCAGCTCCTGCTGCAGCATCCACTATTATCCACGGCATTCCCGCAGCTCAGGGCTGCAGCTCAATTACTGGGGCTTTGTGATTGGGTTTGTACCAGCGTCTGGCATGAGCTGCTGATGGGAGCCTGCAAATAGCTCAGTGCCTTTTGCTTCTTCGCTTCAATTTGTATTTCCAAATAGCTTTCAAAAAGCTGTTTTCTACAGCTTTTAAATAAGCCATCAATAAATAGCTCAGCATTTGTGACCAGCTCTCAACTGCCCCCGTGCCAGCCCCTGCACAAAGCATCGCTTGGGCTGGGACACTCAGGAACACCCTGAGATGTCCCTGGTGCCAAACCTGGCTCCAGGGATGGGCTCTGCTCCTGCACCCAACGCAGGGGGAGCACTCGGTCATTCCTTGCTTTCCTGGGAATGAAGGGCTGTGGGTGACACAGAGAAACCAGCACATCAATAAGCGTGACACCGGTGTCATGGTCAAGAAGGCCAAATGGTGCAGGAGCTCCCAAGCTAACTGTGCATGAAATTGGATGGAGACAGTGGCTCGGTCCATTCCTCACCACAGAGGTCTGTGTGCAGCAGCAGAGATGGGCTTGCTGCCTGGTCGGAAGGACAAACTCATCCCATAGGACTGACTGATCACACCAGGGAGCAGCCAGCAGTGGAGCCAGGCCTGCGGTCTGCATCACTTAGAAGACATGGAGGATTTCCTGGTTGGGATATTCAAATCCCTCCTCTGAAGGCACTTCCCAGGGTCTCTCTGGGTACGAAGTGCTCACAACACAGCTAAAACCACTGTGATAGTACCAATATACTTTAGGGCTTCAACGTAAGTAGTTATATGCATACATAGGACATAGGGAGAGTGTCACATTTTGCCATAACAAATATCATCCATGGTGGGTTCCCACCCAGCCGCCACATCCTCTGCCCAATCTCCCATTAGGAATGTCTCTGGAAGTGGCAGGAATGCCTTTGCCAGGCCAGGCAATGCATAGATTAGGCAGGAATGCCCTGAAATGTTCTCTTAGTAGTTTGGTGCAATGATCTTTGCAATTGCCATGGAAGATGAAGGGCAGTTGTATCTGCCCCATGTACATAAAGGGGCAGTTCCGACCCCTGCCAGCCCCCGGGCAGCAAGACCAGTCAAAGAATACACTACAGGACAGCGCTGGACCGTGCTTGTCCCAAACAAGGGGCCATTGCAAGGGGGGCCACCATCACAGTGATGAGCATGGGCAACAGCAGAGGTTGAGTTTAGAGGACTGTTGTTTCTTTCTCAGTCATTGAGGACATCTTGGAGAAGCTCCTGTGCACGATGCTGGAGTGTCCTGTCTCCTCGCTGAGGGCATTCACCAGCCTGGAAAGGATGGTGACCTTAAACTTCTTGAAGTCCTGGCCCATGAAGACATAGAGGACGGGATTCATGCAGCTATTGGAGGCAGCGAGCGCTGTGGTTATGGGGATGCTGATCTCGAACACGGAGCGCGGGACCACGTCGGGCTCTGTTTCCAGGAGGTTCAGGAGGTGGTAGGGGCTCCAGCAAAGGAAGAAGGTGACTATAATGGTGATGATGATCTTGAAGGGCTTTTTGGACTTGGCGAGGCGGTTCCGGCGCAGGTTGAAGGCGATGGCAATGTAGCAGAACGTGATGATGGTGATGGGGAGGATGTACCCGGCGAGGAACCTGGTGATGTTCACGGTTCGGTGCCTCATCAGGGCCAGGGCTTGGTAAGACTTATTCCTGGAGAGGGAAAAGTTGCTGAAACAGATCACGGAGTTCCGGGCTTGTGCAGTGTCTCGGAAGACAAGAGATGGGCAGCTCATAATGATGCCGATGGTCCAGATGATCAAGCAAACTAAATAGGCTAAGTTGGTCGACCGATGGTTTTGAGACCAGACAGGAAAAACCACTGACACGTAGCGATCGAAGCTGATGGTGGTGAGCAGAAGGACACTGGTGTACATGTTGAGGATGAGGAGGAAGGAGTTCAGCTTGCACATGACTGTCCCGAAGATCCAGTTGTACCTCATGGCGGTGTAAGCAATGTTTATGGGCAGGAAGATGTTGAAGAGGAAGTCGGCAACAGCCAGGTTGAGGAACCAGATGGCATTGACCGACTTCTTCATCTTCAGAGTTATGATGGCAATGACAAGGCCGTTCCCCAGGATGCCCAACACGCAGGACACGCTGTAGATGATGACAGAGAGGATCCTTGCAATGTCCTTTGGGTCGTGGGATGGGTCTGTCCACACACTGTTGGTCGTCTCCTCATAGGTGTAATCTGGGTAATCACTGTAGTTATCAACATCATCCAAGTAGTTGGACAGATTGGAAAGGGCCATTATCAGGACACAAATCACAGCCTGCTCAGTCCTGGCGATGCTCCTCTGTGTTTCTGCTGAGCAAACACATGGTGTTAATCACAGCAAGCACAGTCACAGGATAGGTGCTGGAGACAGGGAATGGAGCATGCATGTACAGGGAATCCCATGGGAACCCTGTCTCTGGCCATGGAAGAAGATGCTGCTGTGGCTCTTCACTGGGTTTCCACCTATCAACCAAGAGCCATCAGCGCCCTGAGCTGCAGGACGTGATTCAGCCCCTTGTGTCCTCCAGGATGTGGCTGTAGCCTCATCCTGCAGAAAACGCCTCTTACCCGCCTACTTCCAGGGTTAAAACGAGGATGCTACCGATTAACAGCCCATTAACAGCTCTGAGCCCTTCCAGTCCGCAAAGGATTATGGCTCTGCTCTTCCTTTCTCCTGAGCACCCCAGACTGGACTGAAAACCCATCAGGCAGCTCCCCACTGATGCCACCATGGAACTGGGGTCACATCCTCTCACCTCTCCTCTCCAGTGCAGCAGATTCCTGGTGGGATCTGGGGATAGGCAGTGTCCCACAGCAGGCTGGCAGCTCCCTCCACGCAGGTTTAGGGACCGAGCCGTAACATTAAAGCTGAGATTAAATAAAAGGCCATTCGCCCTGGGATGTGGGGTTAAGGGAGGAAACGGACTTTGCCACTCTGTGATTTAACCCTGTGCAGCCTCCTTGGGATAACCCAGCACAGCAATCCTGTACCGTGCACTCAGCACCAACATCCAATGCAAACCAGCATCAGGACGCACATGCAAAGAACCCTGCAATCAAGCCCATGGTAATGTTATAACAAATAATGAAAGCCATAAATAGGAGTGAGGTGCCCGGGCTCTCCCACTGTTATTTCCCTGATTAAATCAGTTCCCAGCCTGCTTTAAAATGTTAATTGCAACAACCAGCAGTGTCGTTTGCCATGGTCTGGATCCAGCCTCCACCAGGCACTTAGAGCCCTGCGTTAAATGGGTTCAACCACTCCCCTGTGAACAGTGACAGTGGGTTAATGCCAAGAGCCACCAAAGCCAAATAGCAAAGCCCCAGCACAGGGCATCGCACCCAATCTAGTCCTTGCAGGGGGGAACATGGCTCTGCCCATCCAGGCTGGACCCTCCTGCTTTCAGGACTCAAAGGTCCCCCCGAGCATCACCCTCCCCACAGCCCTGCTCCGAGCTCCCCATGGTGATTGCTGGAACCTATTGTTTTCTCCCTGGGCTTTTCCTCCTGTTCCTTCCTGCCATTGCTGCTGCTCCCACCGCTCCCTCCAGCCAGGGGCTTAAATCACAGCCCCACGGCCTCCCCCTTTCCTGTGCTCCCAGAGAGAAGTGGCCAGGATAAATAAGGTTTTAGTGCAAAGCCTATGGATGAGCCCGAGCTGGGAGTAGGCCCTGACCCAGCAAGACCTTGCTTGTCAAAGGGATGAATTAAAGTTGATGATCCGGTGAAGTATCAGCAGAACTGGCTCCTACAGCGCTGACTGTTCCTGTTCCTGGGTAATGAGCCATTCCCACCACTGCCCTCATGGACCAGCAGGTTTCTTGTCATCACCTTTTTCAAAGGCAAAGTTGCAGGTGGGGAGCCCAGAGCCCTCCGTGCATCCCACCCTGTAGCATCCCACCCCACCACCCTTATCCAGAGACAGGGATGTTCCTCTGTGTGGGTTTGCTCTTCCTAAGGGAAGAAGCTCCCAAGGAATGCCACCACCCTGTCATTGCCCCCATGGGTGAGCAAGGGACCTGGGGGATGGACCCCTGCCCCTCGCCACCATGCAGCCAGACAGACCCCATGTTTGCTGCACTTCTTAAGGCAGACAGACAGGGTAAGTGGGGTAAAAGGAACCCCCCCAACCCCTACCAAGGTTGGCGCTGGTCCCCACTCAGGACGAGGATGCCAGATTGAACAGCAGCACCAGGGCTCTGTTTCCCCCTGGGGTTTGGCAGATTATGGGTCGGTTTCCAGGGCTCATGTGGAGCCACCACAATCCCCACGGCAGCAGGCAGAGAGCTGCCAAACCCACCATGAACCTCCCAGGATGTCTCTGGGCACCAGGATCTGAAGCCCAGACCCATTGGAAAATCATCCAGCAAATCCCCACCTGCCTCCCTAACCCCTCCCAAACCCCAAGCGGGATGACTGCGTGAAACCTCCCATTTCTCACTGCAGAAAAATCCCAGAGTCTGGCATCAAAGCCAAAGCCACACTCGTCAGAGTGTTCCAATGCTCCGCTCTGGGTTGCAAATACCCGGCTCGAGCCAAAACCACTTGCTCTCCATTGGGCCCATTCATCTCTGTCCTCCTACCTCAGCAAACACGAGCACAGGATCTACCCAAAATAGCCTCTGGTGCAGCCGGCCCCGCCATCCCCGCAGCTGTATTTGTCTTGGTACCCAGGGAAGGCTGAGCCCGGGCCGTGGGCGCCGGGGTGGGATTCCCGACGGGCGGCTCGCGCATCGCCAGCATCACCGGGGGAGGATGAGGTCAGGAATTGTTGTTCTTGGGAAGGCAACAGGAAACGGAGAGAACAGCAGAAAATGTTCAAATCCAGCTTTTCTGGGCGAAAGCTCTTCCGTGGCCAGCACAGACGGGCGGGGGGACGGATGTGACCGGGGCTGCAGGGAAACGGCCGGATCCGCACAGCGGGATGCGGCTGCGTCCGAGGAGGACAGGAGATGCTCAGCACCCGGGCAGTGGGTGCTGCCTGCACCAAGCACAAGCAGGCTTCCTGCCTTCTGCCTCCCCTGTGCCTGCGGGCAATGCTTTTATTGAAGCACTGATACAGGTTGCAGGGGAGGGAAGTAATCCAATGAAATCAAATCAAATGAGCAGACCTGCTTTTGAGCACTCAAGATCCTGCCTGAGCTGTCCAAGTGCATCATGCTTGTAGCCATATGATGCTCTGCAATTGGGCTGGGACCAGCCTATGCTTGTGCACAGGGCCCCACCAGCACTCCTCCTGCACTGGGGAAACCAGGGGTACCCTTGGGTTAGTGTTTATCCCACCTCGGAGCACCCACAGGGTGCCAAGGATGTGCAGAGCCAGGACATACCCCTGGGGAGCAGGCGGATGGACAGGGTGGGCTCTGCAATCCCTGCCAGCCCCTGCAGCTGCTCTGCCTTTGTCCCAGTGGAGCGTTCCCCCTCCTTCCCAGCAGCAGTTCGAGGTCCCAAACCCCAAACCCGCTTCCTCCGGCACACGTGGGAGCAGCCGGGCTGCCCACGCAGCCCCGATCCCGGAGATGGGAATTGCAGGCAGATGTTTGGGGGAAACATGTGGTTGCTTATCTGGGGAGCTTTGGGAAGGGCACGGGGAGAAGCAGCATCTCGATGTCCCCCTGGACCTGCAGCACCGGTCCCCTCTGAGCTCTGCACCCCTGGATTCCCCCCACAGCAGACACTGGGCCCAGTCCCATGGGAACTTGGTGCTCTGGTCAAGCTTGAGTCCAACCCTGTGGGATGGATCCTGAGCACAGCAGCTCCCATTGCCGTCAGTGGGAGCATGCCCCATCCATCCCTCTGGCACCCCATTTTTCCACCATAGGGTTGCACTGGAGGGACATCCCCACCAGGATCCAGCATCCAGCCCTGCAGTGGCAGCTTCCAGTCCTGCATGAGGGATTGATTGCCAGCACTCAGGGGAGCAAGAAAACAAGGGAACAGGAAAGCATCTCTGGGTACCCAGTTCCAATTCACCCTTATTTTAAACAGCAGTTGCCATGGCAACAGCTCCCGCAGGGAGAGATGCTGCGCAGCATCCCTACAAGGATGCCCAGGGGATGGAGCCCCAGCCCTTGGTGTGAATCAGCCACCAGCCGCATGCCCATCACAAGAGAGCTCAGACCACACCACAGCAAACCCCAGACCCCTGGCCTGCCCAAAACCTGCTTCCCAGACACATTCCCAGCCCTGCCACCCATCCCTGGACCCCTGTCCAGTTCCAGCTGGATACAAAGGGGACAGGGATGTGGGATGCAAAGGGAGAGGCAGCAGCAGCATGCTGAGCATCCACATCAACCTAACACCGAGCACATGGGCTCCTGACAACAAGGATTCAGGCTGGCATCTCCTAAGTCACCAGCAGCAGGGGACCCCCACGGCAAAGGGAAGGAGCAAAGCCAGTTCCCATAGGGGAAACTGAGGCAGGGTGCTGGGGAAACCCAAGCCCTACCTGTTTCCATGGCATTCAGATGCATCCCAGCTTCACTTCCATGGAGCAGCACTCAGCTCCTTGCTCTTTCAAGACCCCCATTCCCATCCACTTTCGGCACCACTGGCTGCTCCCTGCATACCAGCTAAGGCTCCGTTCCCAGCCCATGTGAACGGGGGGGGGAATGGGAATAGCTGGAAAAGGCAGCTTTAAAAACTCTGGCTGTGCCCAGGGTGGGACAGAATAACAGCATGAGTCAGTGTTTGTCTGGGCAGAGCCTGCCAGGCTGCGCAGGGCAGGATGGGTCGGGATGGGATGGGATGGGATGGGATGGGATGGGAGGGAATGGGATGGGATGGGATGGGTCTTCACACACTGTTCCCTAGTTTGGGGTCACCCTGATGGAGACAACACTCAAATCCAGCCAGAACCTGGTGTTCAGCCCCAAAGCACAGGGCATGCAAGGCTTTTCCCCGGGTGAAGGAGCCTGCCTTTCCCTGACACAAATTGCCTGGGGTGCTAAGAGCAACCCCATTGGTAAAATCCTGGCCCTTTACTCCCGTCCTTCCTGTTCCTGGGAAGGCCTGAGGAGTAAAGAGGAAAGTCACAGAACCATGGAATGGGTTGGAAGGGACCTTAAAGCCCATCCAGCTCATCCAGGGGCACCTTCCACTGGAGCAGCTTGCTCCAAGCCCCTGTGTCCAACCTGGCCTTGAGCACTGCCAGGGATGGGGCAGCCACAGCATCCCCATTCAACCCATTCCAGTATCCCATCACCCTCACAGGGAAGAGCTTCTGCCTAAGAGCTCATCTCAGTCTCCCCTCTGGCAGGTTAAAGCTGTTCCCTTGTCCTGTCCCTACAGGCCCTTGTCCAAAGCC